ATGAGGACAAGCTAATGGTTGGGAGTTTTGACAGTGATGAGGAGTTGTATGAATTTTATGATGAATAAAACTTGAGTTCAATAACTTTATGTAATTTTTTCAAATTTCGGGCCCCAAAATTAAGGTGCGTCTTATACATGGGAGTGTCTTATACCTGGGGAAATACGGTATCTATCTGGAAATGGAAGACTCCCTCCTACCCTACCCCGACCCAACCCCACCCAGGAAACCACAACCTTCTCCTCCTGCCCCAACACTAAGGTCCTGGGTTACTTAGACTCAAGGAATCCAGATTTTAGGATGAAATTAAGGCATGTTAGAAGGAAAATGTTTAAAAAGAATAGACTAGCTCCAAGAACAGGAATTTACTTTTCTTAAGCAACCCAAAGCTGTAACATTTTTTCATTGGGAGGGACTTACAAAAGGTTGACTGAAAGGTCCAACTAGATCCAACAAATCCCTCTATGTAAATCCCTTTCTTCCTCAGGTCATTTTGCCTCTAAATTGTAAAAAATAAGTGATTATAATATTTAGCCTTACTGCACTGGTTGGTAGGGGGCACACACTGCTAAGCTCTTTACCTACATTATGTGCTTGAAAAGGCAACACTTCGGGATTATTATGCCTATTTTATAGATGAGGAAACCAGATTCAGCAAGGGAGCCCATCAAAAGAATAAGTTCAGACTCAGGGCCTGTGTTTACTACTCATGGCGGGGTGGACTCCAGAGCTAACAGAACGAAGTCAAGAAGCAAAAGACAAGGGTGCCAAGAGCCAAGGGTCTAGGAAGCCCCCTCCCCAAAGAACAGTGGAGAGCGGGCTTCCTACAGGACTCCAATCCCTAAGGGCACTAATCTGCCCCAGGATTTCCCGCCTTTCGTTCCCACAATGCTTCCTAGGAGCCACTCAGCAGGGAGGGGCCCAATCCTCCAGCACGCTGAGGCCCCTGGTCCACCACGTTTAGGGAACACACACACACACACACACACACACATACACACACACACACACACACAAACCCGCCCCCGCCCCAAGGCTGCAAAAAGCTGCCTGGCTTCCTCGCTGGAAAAGTAGAGCCAGGACGTTGGGGCAGAGTCAGGGAGGGGAGAGAGTGGGGACAAGGGCCGAGTGGGAAGAGGGGCGTTGACAGACAGACGAGTTATCTAAAGCCATAAACTCTGGGGTTTAAAAGGACGTGAAGCTTGGGCGGGGTGTCCAACTCCCTCAGACTTTGAATCCTGGATGGGCTTTTCTGAAGACAGCCCCTGACGTCCTCCCCACGCCCACTCCACCCCATCCCGACACATAACCGCCCAACTCCAGGCGCTACGAGGTCCCCAGGTAGAGCAGTGCGTCGCCCAGACCGCACAGGCCTCAGCCCCTCACCCCCCCGTGGGGGCGGGTCTCTGCCCCTCCCGGCCCCGCCCACTCCAGGCTCCAGGGCAGGGGCCAAGTATGACTCATCTAGGTGTCTAGGTGTCCCGCACACTCAGGTCTTGGGACGCCAGAGCCCTCAATCAATATTTGCCCGTTTGAATCAAGACACCACTTCCAACTCCCAGAATCCTATCAAACCCCCATTTAAAAAAAAAAAGCAGGGACTGGACACCTTTGAGAAGCTGCTGGGGCAGTGCTAGCGGAGAAGGGTGAACCTGGAGGAGGGACTTCCCTCCCACCCCACGGTTGAAATCTTCCAGGCTGAAAGTTTTATCCACAGTTAGAACTCGGGTGGGGTGAGATGGGTGAAGGAGGTAGGAAGCCCCAAGATTTAGAGTCAAAAGCCGCCCAAACCCTCTCCCCATACCTGCGTCAGACAAAACCAAAGAGCATGGGAGGAGTGAGTCACAGGTGGGAAAGGAGTGTTGCCAGGGTGGGGGGGCCTAGCAGGACGACAGTGGGGGGCTGGATGTGCCCACAGAGGGGGTGACCAAGAGAAAGGGTGTGGACCCTCGTTGGGCCCCAGGCACAGCCAGCCACGCAGGGGGAGCCCTCACCTTGTCGATGAAGGAGGCAAACTTGTTGTTGAGGGTCTTGATCTGCTCCTTCTCCTGGTTGCGCACGGCCTGGATGTTGGGGTCCACCTCCAGCTTCAGGGGGCTCAACAGGCTCTGGTTCACTTGGACAGCTGTAATGGTCTCCATATTCCCAGCCCCGCGGTAGCCCCCGGCCAGATTCATGTTGATGCCCAGAGCAGGCCGGTAGCCGCTGCCTGCCCGGAAAAAGGGCGAGGAGCTGATGCGGGAGCCGGTAGAACTCGAGTACGAGCGGCTGCTGAAGGCCCGGGGGCCAGAGGTGGACACCTTGTAGGTCTTCTGGGTCACCCTTGTGGACATGGTGGAGGCTGGAGTGGAAGCGAAGAGACGAGGAGACGAGGAGACAGAGACTTGAGAAGGAGTCAAAAAGCTGCTTCTAAGTGAGGGACAGCATGGCCCTTTATAAAAAAGAGCCCAGCCCAAGAGGAGGGGGATGGGCCTGGTACCTGAGTGGCTAGGCCCTGAGGGGGCCGGGCCTAACCCAATACCTGCCACCTACAGGCCCGACTCAGGTGGGGGCAGCAGAGAGCTGCTCCCACCGTGGGGCCCATTAGAGCACCACCCCAGAAGCCCAAGAAAGAGAGATCCTGTGAATGTGAAACTGGCAGGAATCCAGTGGCCTTGCACAAGGTCTCTTTAACAAAGAGACTTGGGGGGGGCGGGGGGGGGCACTTACCAAGCCACCGCAACCCTGATTCCTGGGTCTTGTCTTCCTGGCACCTGTGGAAAGCACAGCAGGAAAAGGAACCCTGGCATTTGGATCTCCTCTGAGCAGCTGACACCGCCCCATGTTCTTTTCTCCACTTTGAGTGATTATGAAGGTCTGCCCAAGCTGGAGGACCGGAAGGCTGAGTTCTAAATTTGAATCCGAAGTCAACCATTTGCCTTAGCCTCTCCTCAGTTACTGTTGTATCCTCAGCACCTGGTTCAGTGCCAAGAGGGGCTGGGTAAATATTTGTGGAATGAATGACCACACACACACACACACACACACACACACACACACACAGAGGCTGTCTTCCCTCTAAGTCTGTAGGTACAAGATAAAGTGAGATCCAACACACCAACTTTTCCTGAACACCACCCAGTGCTCTCTCTCCTTCCAAGATCTCAGGATTTCCAGGGCCAGGCTGAACACTGCAGTCCTGGCTGAAGGGCACAGCGGATGAAGAAAAAGAGCGAAAGAGGCAGAGGAGCAGGGGGAACTCAGGAGAGTGGAAGCTGTGTTGGGGCCCTCATTGTTCTCAGTGCTCCTGGGGAGAGTCGTTCCCATAGCTCCCAATGGGTGAATTGGGAAGAGAGGCAGGATGGGGTGGGATGGGGTGGAACAGGGGTGGGGGGCACTGATAGTGAATCAATCTGCAGTCATCTGGGCCTTCCTTCTCTTTCCAGGCCCCCAAGTGGCCTGAGGAGATGGAAGAACAGTCCCTGCACCTGTCTCCCTGAACCCATTATCAAAATGAGTCAGGAGAGCAGGTTGGGGCACAGCACGCACCTGCAGGTTGGCGAATGGGGAACTACACACGACACCCCAGGCCTGGGTGAGGCTGGGTGGGGCAGGTTGTGGGTAGAAAGCAGGAGGTTTAGGTCCCGGAGGCAGAGATTCCAGCTGTAGTCACCTGATGATGGGGCTGGATTCTCTGAACCATCCTGCAGGGCATGAAATGGGGACTGGGTGGCTCCAACTAGAGAGACCAACAGATGCCAGTAATCCTGGGGGAGAGGAAGCCTACAGCTCCAAACCCAGGGAAGGAGAGTGACTACAACTGCCCACCTACTAGGAAGACAGTTGTCCAGATTCCTTCCCATCCTTCTCCAGGAAAGGCACCCAGGCACCCAGAAGGAAGGGGATGTAGACCCCCTGCAGGGGGACAGAGAGACCCAAAAGCCCTTATGGGGGACAGACATAAATCCAAAAAGGCAGACGCAGAGACAAGCTCCCCTCAGACTAACACACCACACACACACACACACACACACACACACACACACACCCAAGACAAAGACACACTTTGAAGTCTCTTCCAAAAAGACATATCTGGAGACTCTCAAAGGGGACACAATAATCACATCCCTTTTCTCCCTCCCCTCTTTTCTTTCTCTTCCTCACCCTCCCCAAGGCTCTGGCCTCCTCCTGATGTTTTAAACCAGGCAAGGGGAAATCCAGTTAGTTCCTGTTTACATCAGGCCCTCTCCCAGCCCCTTTAAACAATGCTTAATTTTCCAAAGAGTGATTTGAATGCATGCCACCCCCTCCTCAACAAACACCCACACCTAGAAGGGCAGAGAGACTTCTTCTAGACTAAAAAGAGGGGTATGGGCCGGATGCCAAACCTGGGACTGAGAAGGCGGAAGGAGAGAGGGAGGGGCCGGTCAGACTGGTATGGCAACCATGGTGAGAGAGGACAACCAGGTCCCCACCCACTTCTTCCCTTCCCCCACACTGTTGTTGGGTGGATCTGGGCAGACTCAGAGGGGAGAGACAGTACCTGAAGTCCGAGCACAAAACAGCAACCCAGAGCCCCCCAGAAATTGGAGCCCTTCAGCCACCACTCATCTGGTTCCCTGGTTCCAGGAGTGCCCTGTGTTTAAGGTGAGGACAAAGAGGACTACAAGGGACCCTGTGGTTGTCAGGCTGTAGGGCTGACCCAGATCTCGCCCAAGGGGAGCCCCTCTTTGCTGAGGTAACCCAGAACAATCCAGAAACCAGAAGTGTCTGCATCTCATTTGTCAACGCCTTATTGCCCAGAGACCCCAGCCAACCCTTCCCCCATGTCCAAAGCCCAGCCTCAGTGCAAGAAAAGAGGCCAACAAGAGGCCAGCGCTGCCCTCTCCAACGTCCCTGCCTGAGGTTTGGGTGGAGGCAGAAGGGAAAGGCCCCAGGACTAGGGCCAAGCAGTGAGGGAAGAGAAAACCAGACTGGGGCAGCTTTGCAGGTACAACTAACTCCTTTTAAGTCTGTCTCTGGCCACTGCTGCCTGTCCAACAAAAGGGAAAGTGTTTGTGGTGACTGCCTCACCCAGAAGACACTGCCCCAAACTGCCTTTCCTGGAGAACAGAAGGGGAGGGAAGGAGGACCTGAGCCCTGGCTCAGCTGCGTCAAGGCTGGGGACAGAGGTAGGTGGGCAGAGTAACTGTTATCATTACATCACTCGCAATCATTGGACAAGATGGTCTGAACAAGTTCTTCTCAGCGCTCAAGACTGATGACACAAAGAGACCACATTCACAGCAGCACCGTTCGTAATAGCCAAAATAGAAATAATCCCAACGTCCACCATTCAATGAAAGAATAAACTAAATGTGACATATCCATACAACGGTGTATTACTCACAATAAAAACGAATGAAATACTGATACATGTTATAATATGGATGAACCTTGAAGGCATTAAGCAAGGTGAAGCAAAGCCAGCCACAGAAGGCCACATATTGCAGAATTCCATTTGTATATAATGTCCAGAATAGGCAGATCCATAGAGACAGAATTCTTGGCTGCCCAGGCTGGTAGGAATGGAGGTAGCTGCTGAAGAATAGATTGTTTCTTTGGAGGTGATGGAAATGTTCTAAATTTGATTGTGGTGATGATTGCACAAGTCTGTGAAAACGCTAAAACATTGTGTTGTACACTTTAAATGGTTGAATTGCATGATATGTGAATTACAGCTCAATAAAGTTTTTACCAAAAAAAAAAAAAAAAGGATGCCACAAAAGCATAAATTAGACACATATATAAAGTGGGGACTTTGTAAACCAGCATAGGAATCAGAGGATAGAAGGGAAGATTTTGCTTAGATGCTGTAGGTAAAGAAGTTCCCTGTCTCTAGGTTAATAACCAGAGCAGTGTCCCCAAAGCGCTGGAATCGCTTTAAAAGATGGGTAATTTAAAATCTTATTGTTGATATAGTAATAGCTGAGTTTAGCACCCAGCAGCAACCCATAAGAACAATTAGTTTAAGTAGGAAGCCACAGATGGTGGGAACACCCATCAGTAAGCCACATCATGAATAATAAAAATGATTTGATTGTTGATTTTTGTGCTGTGTACCTCAAGGCCAAATTGTTCCTAGTCAATACTCAGTAAGTGGTGACTGTTTTTCTCCATAATTAACAGTGGCTCTAATGATGATTAAAGCCAGTGGAATGGAAAGGGACTGCCTAGACAGGGAGCAAGGTACTGTCCCTAGAAGTCTTGAGTCCGTGGTGCCTCACCAGCTGTCCCCTGGGTTCACTAGTTTGAACTATAACTGCTCCCTACTCTGAGAGACTTTGCGCCATGTCCCACCACCACAGAGCTTTACACATAGAAGATTAGATATCCACAAATGTTCTCAGAATAGAAATTAGATTTTGATAGAGACGTGATTAAAAGTTGCTAGAACAAGTATGGTGAGAAGGGTGACAAGGTAAGCCATATTGCAGAGAAAAGGAGACTTAATTAAGCCTGTGGGGGAGGGGAAACCCCCCCTTCCCCTCTTGGTTCTTCTGGCTGGTAGAATAATTAAAATGACATAAGGCAGGTTAATGGGGGTGGGGGGAGGGGTCCTTAACACTTACACATGGGAAATTCACATAAGTATGAAAATTCCAAAGACAGTAAGGCAAAATGAGGTATACATGACATTCTGGACTGAGTCCACGGAGATAGGGGTCTGGGACTTCAAAGGGAAAATAGGCAATTCACGGGAAGATGAGAAAAAGCAAATGGTAAACAAATGTTTGCCATGCCACCCAGAAACAATGGAATACAGGAGTCTAACAAACAGACTTCGCTGGATTCCTCCCTGTCTGCCACATCCAGTTCATATAATTTAAGGCGATGCTCTCTTCCCGGAACAGGTTTTTCTGTCTGAACTCCTTTGGGCAGGTAAGGGGGAGGTTAAAAAGCTCTTCTTGAGTTTGTTGGGCTTTAATTGTTGTCAGCTCAAAATAATCCGTATGCCAGGGTGGCACATTCTGGGGAGACTCGTTCTGAACCCCTACAAGCCTGGAGATGAGGAGGTCTCTCTCCCCCCTTCACATCCTCATACCCTTATCTCCACTGATACCAAACTGGAAGAGATCATCCACTGATGGGCAGTCAAGCCAGGTGGGAGAGATCCGGTTGTGTCACAGCTATTGGAGTCCTTCCTCTTAACTCTGGTTCTGTCTGGCGTAGGCACATCAGAATCACATAGGTGGCACTCCATCTGCATTCTTTTTAAAGCTTCCTCCATGCAGCTAGGGTTGAGCACCAGGCTTTGGCTCCGGTTGCACCACCAAGACCTCCAGGAACACACTCTTCCTCTCCCCAAGCCCAGAGTACTGCAGAGCACCCACTTAGAAAGGACCATATACCTGTCCCTCAGGGGGGAAAACAGAGTAACCAGTCCCTGGAGCCTGATACTCCACCGCACTGGCCAGGTGCATAGACAGACTAAGAGAGGATCCGACCAGGTCCCACTCCTGGCTGTGATGACAGCAGTGTGGGGAACCTGAATGATGGGAAGGGGAAGGCAGGGTGTCACCAGAGAAGGTTTCCCAGGGGATGGGTCCCTGGAGGAGCCCTCAGGAAGGAGTCACACAGCCTGCAGGGAAAACACTT